ATAATAATAATAAAACAATAATAGTATTAATAATGATAATAGTACTAATAGTAATAGTAATAGCGATAGTTATAGATCTAGTAATAGTAATGATAATAGTTATGACAATATTAGCAGAAAAATAACATATTGTTAACAATGATTATTATATCGTTGTAAAAGCCAAGTAACCAAATTTAATGCAAATTAATTTTTTAAAATACCGGGTGTCTAAAAAAAGAGGACAGATTAAAATTTGAAGGGCAGTAGTTTGGCCATTTTAAAAACTAATTTCAAAGAAATGTTGAAAAAATAAAATTCAACTAGGGGGACATTATATTTTGGAGTATGAAATAAATCAATTACCATGTTCGAAAAATATCAAGTTTTTACAATTTCAACCAAAACTGAGTTAAATGTAAAAGGTTGCAACTTCTTTAAAAAAATCGGCCACACTGTTCTGTTTCAAAGAGTCATTATTTCTATTTGAAAACAAGTTTATACGTAAATTATATTGTCAAATAAACTCAGGTAGATGATGGCTATTTAAATCTCCAGGTGTTGACAATAATTTCTCTCCGTACAAGCTCCAATAAGCCACGGGAATTTGTGAATATTAACTCCGTGGCAGTTTAAAAATTTTTTTGGGGTCGATTCTTTGATTGGACGTCCTGTTTAACATTGGGCTTCGATTATTTGTGGCTTATTTCCATAGACTCTGTCCGTCAAAAACACCCCAAAGATACTAATTTAAATTTTGTAAGGGCTCAAGTTTGGGGAGTGTGGTGACCATTCTTTTGTAAACTTACGGGTTATAAGGCTTTCTAGTAACCATACAAGGGCCACTCAAGACATTAGGGTGTGACCTCATCCCACTGGAACTGCACCTCAACTCCATGACACCTTTACCTCCTTAATTTCCCCCAAAACTTTCTCAGCACGGTGAGATATCCATTTGATGTGACTGTAGTCTTTTTTCCCCCCTGAAACTAGAACGAGTCGCCCCCCCCCGGCAGCTGAACGCTTTTAAGAAGTGAATTTTGCGTTTCACCCAATTTGAGTTGACATTTTAAAACTTAATATTTCTAGATCTAGAAGGCGCTGATGGATTGTCTTCATAAAAACTTGATGTCCCATTGGTTGAAAATTATTTTTTCGAAGTTTTGTTAAAATAAGGGCACTGATGAGGAAGTTATTGTCCCTTAGGTAGGTCCCCTTTTTAAACACCATGTATTATTTTAATACAAGATTTTGGGATCGCGGGACAATTTCTTGATTGCACTTTCTGGGAGATCTCTACCCGCCTCCCCTCCTCCTCCCCTCCGCCTCCCCTCCTCCTCCCCTCCTCCCCCTTCCACTCTTCCTCCCATCAGCCCCTTCCCATCACCCTCCTCTCCAATCCATCTATCACCACCTGGAGAGGAAAAACATACCAATGCCTGACCTGTGTCTCTTGATCCCGGGTCCTCACATTTCTGACCGCCCGTAAATTTCGACCTCAGGTACTTTTTGTAAGATTCCAAATCCACTTCCTGCCCGACGGTGCTTGCTGTTATCGTCGTCGTCGTTGTCGTTGTTGTTGTTGTTGCTGTTGTTGTTGTTGCTGTTGTTGTTGTTGAGGGCTTCTGTGGCATACTGTCTTCCTGGGGTGGCTTCTTGTAATAAGGGGCGACATCATTGGTCGAATTTGCGAACTGAAGGTTGAAAAAAAATCTGTTATTGTTTTTTAAAAATTACAGTATTGAGCTTTAAAAAAAAATTGGATGGAGAGCCAGAGGAAGACTAAGGCGACGATGGAGTGAATCTATGGCAGACACCCTAAAGTAAAGTAGATACTGGTGTGAGTGGAAGATTTTCTTTTTAAGAAAAAGGAATGATCATTCTATGCTTGCTTGTTATTCAGTCGTAATTTAAATTTACGTGTAGATCTAGATCTACCTACGGATTTTGGAGACCACGGTACAGGACAGATAGAAATCCTTCCCGATTCTTCTTTCTTCTAGATCTAGATTTCTATTTTATGGTCAAGTCTAAGCCCAAAGTAAGAGAAGGGAACAACAAAAGTACTGAACTGAAGTGAGAAGAGAGTCTGTCTACTGTCTAGGCTACAGTGCAAAGACTTCTGATTTTTATGGAAAAGAGTTTCGTCGTCACTGGGAATAGTTTCTGTACCTATCTATCCCCAGTACTGGGAATAGTCACTTCGTTCGTCAAAATAACGAATTTGAAAAAAACTGGTATTTTCTCGCCGTTTCGGCATTTTTAATCGAAATTTTATTTTTTGGCTCAACACCTTTTATGTGTACATAAGAATCCATTTCTGTGTGGGTTTTTACTTAAAAACGTTAATGAAAGGCACAAAAAGGTTAACTGTCACTTTCCACGGACTCTCTGCTTTGTGGACATTTTTGGGCTAATTCTACCCCTGAAACCACCTTACCAAATCAAATATCTCTACTTGTATTCCAGATAAATGGACCGGGTATTTGTTTCTTCGGATGCAAGACAAACAAACAAGCTTTCAGGCGATACCAATAACTCCGTATGCCCAAAAATGAACGAGCGCTTGATTCCACCGCATCGTGTGTGTGTGTGTGTGTGTGTGTGTG